CTCCCTCACATCACCCTGCTTGACCCTGGAGGATGGCTGGTTAGTCAATGACGGGTAAGACTTTTCAATGGAAGGGGCAACCTAAGACAGGCACAGTCACATGGGGACCATCAAGGAAGGACTTGGGGGACAGGGAGAAGGGGCAAAAGGCCCTCATCCCTCAGCTTTGTCATGGCCAGAGTCCTCATTCTATCTGAAAGAAGTCTTCTTATCTCATGGCTGCTCTGCTCCACCCTCTTGGCTGAGACTTGAAAAATACTAAAGGCAGATACAGCCCTAAACTGGATCAGGTGGTTCCCGGGGACAATTAGGCCTGGAAAAGGAATGCATTAAATCTTATGAAATTTACTTTGCTAAGAATGCCCTTGAATTAATGAGTACTGATGTTTGGGGTTGAACATAGAATGTGATCAGTTTCCCAGGTTTCAGGGCTAAATGGGCACCACCCTGTCTACCAGACCCTGACCTGAGGCAAATCTCTTGTGTTCCTTCAATTGTTATCTATGATCTCTATCTGTTTTCTGTAAACATAGCCTTTTGGCATTGATGAGATTTGCATTCACGCTGTATACCCCTGCACATATCCTTCTCAATAAAGGCCACTTCAAGAGAAGGGCTTGGGGCATTCTCCACTAGAGGGAATTGCCACCCCCTTTTCCTGGCAGATCGAGAAGTGTCTGGAATGACTTATTTTATTTTCCTCCCTCAGTGGCGACCTGCGGGGGGGCTCTGTGCAGGACGCGGTACCCGCCATTATCCGGTGCCCAATATGGGATACCCCATATATATGAAATTTGGATGACTTCTATTTTTGCAGAAAAGAAAACACCATTAGGATTTTTATTGAAATTGCATTGATTTCACAGATCACTTTGGATGGTATTAGTATCTCAACACTATTAAGTCTTTCAATCCATGTACATGAGATATCTTTCCATTTATTTAGGTCTAATTTAATTCCTGTCAGCAATGTTTTATAGCTTTCATTGTAAAAGCCTTTGGCCTCCTTGGTTAAATTTATTTCTGAATATATTCTTTTGATGATATTGTAAATAGAATGCTTTTTCTCAATTCCCTTTTGGATTGTTCATTGCTTGTACATAGTAATGCAACAGACTTTTGTATAGATTTTGCATCCTACAATTTTGATAAACCTGTTTATTAGCTCTATCATTTTTAATGGAATTTTAATGATTTTCTACATATAAGATTGTGTTGTCTGCAAACAGAGATAATTTTGCTTCTACTTTTCCAATTTAAATGGATTTTATTTCTTTCCTCTGCATAATTTCTCTGGTTATAACTTCTAGTACTCTGCTGAATAGAAGTAGTGGATGCAGGTACCTTTGTCTTGTTTCTGTTCTTAGAAAGAAAGGTTTCAGTCTTGGAAAGATATAATCTCATTGGGGTGCTTATTTCTAGTTTTTTCCCATTGTGATTGTGAGAAGTACACTGACAAAAATCTTTTGATAGATATATTTAAAGCTCCATGGGTGGTATGTGCCAAAGGTCCTGAATGACATGGTTGACCTTGAAATAATTCTCCCTCTGAATTCCTTTCTAGACTTGAGGTTGCTCACTGATAAAGTTCTGCATTAAATTTTTAAAAATTAAGCGTTAAGTAGGTTTTTATTATATGGCCTACATTATGTTGAGATAGATTTCTTCTATTCTTAGTTTGTTCAGTATGAAATGGTTTTGAATTTTGTCAAATGTGTTTTTTTCCTTCTATTAATGTGGCACATTACATTGATTGATATTCACATGTTGAACCATCCTTACATTACAGGAATAGCTCTTACTTGGTCATAGTATATAATCCTTTTACTATGTTGTTGTATTTGGGCTTGCTAGTACTTTGTTGAGGATTTGACTCAATGTTAATAAGAGATATTATTGTAGTATGTAGGTGTTTTGTTGGTCAGTTTGTTTTGGTAGTGTGTTTGACTTTGGTATCAGCATAATGCTAGCTTCATAGAATGAGTTAGGAAGTATTACTTCCTCTTCAACCTTGTGGTAGAGTTTGAGAAAGATTGGTGTTAATTCCTCTTTAAATGTTTTGTAGGATTCACCAGTGAAGCCATCTGACCCTCAGCTTTCCTTTGGGAGGTTTCTGATTACTGATTTGATTTCCTTATGAGTTATAAGTCTATTCAGATTTTCCATTTCTTCATGATTCAGTCTTGGTAGGTTGTATATCTAGAAATTTGTCTGTTTCATTTATCTTATTCAATTTGTTGGCATATAGTTGTTCATAATAACCCTTTATATTTCTGTAAAATTGGTAGTAATGTTCCCTCTTTCATTTCTGATTTCAGTTTCTTGAGTTCTCTTTTTTCTTAGTCATTTCTTTATTGTTTTTTGATTCTCTGTGTTATCTTTAAGGTTTATTTTTTCTTTCTTCTGCTAGTTTTGGATTTATTTTGTTATTCTTTTAAAATTTGGGTATTAATTTAAGATTTTTCTTTTTTAAGGTGAGCATGTACAGCCATAAACTTCTCCTTTAACACTTATTTTGCTTCATCCCAAAAGTTATGGTATGTTGTTTTTTCATTTTACTTGTTTCAAGATATGTTCTGGTTTCTCTTGTGATTTTTTTATTTGACTTGTTGATTGTTTAAAAGTATGTTTCCTAATTTCCACATATTTGTAGATCTACCATTTTCCTTCTGCTGTTGATTTCTAGTTTCATTCTATTATAATTAGAAAAAGTATTGTGTATGATTTTAATATTTTAAAATTTATTAAGACTTGATCTATGGCCTAACAAAATCTCTCATGGAGAATGTTTCATGTGCTTTTGAGAAAAATGTGTATACTGTTGTAGTCAAATGGAGTGTTTGGTATACATTTGTTAGGTTCAGTGAGATTATACTGTTGTTCAAGTCCTCTATTTCCTTATTGGCCTTCTGTTTGGCTTTCTATCCATTATTGAAAGTGGGGTGTTGCATTCTCTGACTATTATTGTAGTCAGAGGTATAAAAACCTCTGACTATAAAAACCCGTGGGGGTTACAGCAGTGGGAGAAACTCCCAGCCTCACAGGAGAGTTCATTGGAGAGACCCGCGGGGTCCTAGAACATACACAAACCCATCCACCTGGGAATCAGCACCCAAAGGGCCCAATTCGCTTGTGGGTGGTGGGAGAAGTGACTGAAAGCAGGGGGAGAGATAAGCACGTGGCATAGTTTCCTCCGCCACATACAGCGCAACAACACAGTGACCTGGGTTGTCCTGCCCTGGCGAATACCTAAGGCTCTGCCCCTTACAATGAAACAGATGCACGGAGATAAAGATATATGGCCCGAATGAAAGAACAGATCAAAACTCCAAAAAAAAAAAAAATACAACTAAGTGATGAAAAGATAGCCAACCTATCAGATGTAGAGTTCAAAACACTGGTAATCAGGATGCTGATGGAAATGGTTGAGTATGGTCACAAAATGGAGGAAAAAGTGAAGGCTATGCAAAGTGAAATAAAGAAAAATACACAGAGAACCAACAGTAAAGGGAAGGAAACCCAGGACTCAAATCAACGATTTGGAGCAGAAGGAAGAGATTAACATTCAACCAGAACAGAATGAAGAAACTAGCATTCAAAAAAATGAGGAGAGGGTTAGGAACCTCCGCGACAACTTCAAACGTTCCAACATCCGAATCATAGGGGTGCCAGAAGGAGAAGTGGAAAAGCAAGAAACTGAAAACTTATTTGTAAAAATAATGGAGAACTTCCCCAATCTGGCCAAGGAAATAGACTTCCTGGAGATCCAGGAAGCTCAGAGAGTCCCAAAGAAGTTGGACCCAAGGAAGCACACACCAAGGCACATCATAATTACATTACCCAAGATTAAAGGTAAGGAGAGAATCTCAAAAGCAGCAAGAGAAAAGGAGACAGTTAACTACAAAGGAGTTCCCATAAGACTAAACCTTACAGGCAAGAAGGGGCTGGGAAGAAGTATTCAAAGTCATGAAAGGCAAGGACCTACAATCTAGAATACTCTATCCAGCAAAGCTATCATTTAGATAAAGTGCTTCCCAGGTAAGGTAAAGTTAAAGGAGTTTGTCATCACTAAGCCTTTATTATATGAAATGTTAAAGGGACTAATCTAAGAAAAAGAAGATCAAAACTATGAACAGTAAAATGAGAACAAACTCACAACTATCAACAACTGAACCTAAAGAAAACAAAAACAAAAACACACTAAGCAAACAACTAGAAGAGGAACAGAACCACAGAAATGGAGATCACATGGAGGGTTATCAGAGGGGGAGGGGAGGGAGAGAAGGGGGGAAAGGTACAGGGACTAAGAAGCATAAACGGTAAGTACAAAATAGACAGGGGCAGGTTAAGAATAGTGTAGGAAATGGAGAAGCCAAAGAACTTATATGTATGACCTATGGACATGAACTAAGGGGGGAAAATGCTGGTGGAGGTGAGGGTGCAGGGTGGAGGGGAATAAAGGGAAGAAATAAATGGGACAACTGTAACAAGATAATCAATAAAATATATTTTTTAAAAAGTGAGACCCTGCTATAGGCTCCTATTTTTGTCAATGTAAAATGTGGCAGACTAAGAATAAAACCAAAGTTTACCATTCATACTATAATATCCTATTTCCCTGGTTGTGCTAAAGATGGGCTGGTGCTTCCTGACTCATAAAGCATGAAAGGCCCACAGTTCAGGGTTTGGATCCTTCTCCACGAATCCCACTCCAGCCCTGATAGATCTCTCCTCAAAAACCAAGAACTCAATGATCCATGGGGGAGCCACACATCTGCCCCTTTCTCCATGAGTTTTCTTTCAACGAAGCCTCTTCTAGATGCTTGGGGTGTTTGGAAACGGGGTTCATGTGCTTCTATACAGAGCAATGCTTGTTTTTATCCTCACCATATATCTTAAAAACCACATTAGGTCATTTTTTAGCAAAGGTGTAAACAGAGTTTGTTATCACCCTGTATATCTATAAATGTGTCTACTTAGGACAAAAATTAGACACCTACCTGACAACTATAGTTGACATTGGAGGATCCTTTATGTTTTTACTCAGCAAGTGGCATTTCTTCCACCCATAATTTGCATTGTTGATGGTTTTTGTTTTGCACAGGGACATACTGCTTGGATTTGGGGTCAGATTAATCTCTTCTGGAAACTCATGTCTTGCTAAGATCCTTTCTAATCCAGAGAGTTCAGAATTCTCACCTAGTAACAGGGTAAACATCACTTTAAGTCAGTGTTCCTCTCCATTTTTGCATAGCAAAAGTAACATGACATTAATTTGAGAAATAATACTTATGCCACTAAGTAACTGCTATTTATCTCTTCCACTCCATCACTGCAAAAATATCACTGAGCAACATCTATATCTTAGCTCGGTCCTAGACATCTAATAAACACGAATGAATGAATTAATTAATGAATTAATGAACAGATGTTCTCGTACTACCATAAATATTGAAGGCTATTTATACAATTTGTGCATGATTCCCAAACTTATGGCAAGTTAATGTACAATTATTTTTATTTTTAGAGATATTAATGACATTTTGTATTTGCATAAGATCCATTGCTTCACATTGACTTCAATTAGCCCCTAACCAAATTGCCCATCTGCAATGAGACAAAGAGCTTTGCCAGAATGCAATCCAATACACCGCTTCCTTCATCAGAACAGTCTTGCTACAAAAAAAATAAAGAAAACAAAGGAAAGGGAAAGAGAGGGAGAGAGGAAAGGAGGGAAGGAGGGAAGGAAGGGAGAAAGGGAGAAAAATAATCGGTTGAACTGCATAGTGTGTTTAGTGACATAGTTGACTGATATTGTAGTGTAAGGTTATCTCTTTGCCAACTGCTAACAGTTTGAGAACCAAAGCCAGTTTTCAGGCTATACTATGAGTAACTCAGCAATTCATTTTGGTGTATTACAAAATAAAAGAGCTGTCATAAACCTAATGCAGAAACAGAAGCTGAGCTGTGGAGAAAATCACGGTGACCCTGCATAGGAATTAGATCGGAACTCATCCAGGCCCTGTTATTTCTCAGGGCCTGGATGACTGATGATCCCTCACAGACAGGGCAATTGGTGGAGACCCCAAAGAACCAAGAACTGGCTCAAGGGGCATAACTCAGCAATTTGACTAAATGATATATTAACTGGATGGATAGCTTGATCCTTAAGGGCCCCAGAACTATTCCAAGTAAGTCAAGAACAGGATTGGACTGAGGCTCCTGTCAAGGCCTGGCTCAGCTCCTACATACTGCTCTTAGCAGTTTATTAGCTCAGTGATCACACAGCTGGGGCATGCAGAAGCTCTCACTGGCACACTTGAACAATAGGGAGAGCATATGGCTTGCTCTCATTGTCAGATTTTCATAGTTAAATTTAATACACAACTAAATTAATTAACCAAATTCAGGTATTTGATGACATCCAGTTAAAGTAAACTTTTTGCCTCAAATGAATTTTTGATTGTCTTGTTATATAGACAGACATATTTTAATATTGTATACTGCCTCATATTCTTTTTGTAAGCAACTAGGGGTAAGTGAGAGAGAGAAAATAACATTTACAAGTTCTCATATTCTCCAGTATGAATAATGATATTTAGTACTGCACACACACCAAAGTTAGATGAAAACTCAGAACTCAGTTTCAATATTTAATTGGATCTTACAGACCATTTTATTTAAAATTATAAGCAAGTGTCCTGGTTTTAAAAGAAAGTATGATAAGCATAGGGACACCTCAAGAAATGTTTGGAAGTAAAATAATATTGTAAATTCATAGTTGAAATTTTGGAGATATTGAACTGTGAGCTACCTGAATGTTTAAAAAATTTTTTTATTTTAATGTGTGGAATCCAATACATGGCTGATTGATGGATGGATGGATGAATGAATGAATGGATGGATGAATTAGTAATCATGGTACAAATCAGCATAGATAAGGTATACAAACCAGTAAACAAGCTCTTTCAAGTGTGTGAGTATGTGTACATGTGTGTATTTACCAGAGACAGTAAAAATAGGTAACTTAAAACATCAGTCTTTAAGGTGACCTTTTACTTTGTTTTAAACTTTAAATTTCTGAAAACTAATATATAACATTACAGTTGTCCCAATTTTTTCCACTTTGCCTCCTTCCACCCAGCTTCCCGAACTCCCTCAGGCAATCCCCACAATTTTATCCATGTCTGTGGGTCATGCTTATATGTCTCTTGGCTGCTCTATTTCCTATGCTGTGCTTTACATCCCCATGACTATTCTGTAACTACCAATTTGCCCTTCTCAATTCTTTCACCCCATTCGTCCATCCCCCCAACCCCTTCCCACCTGGAAACCATCACAATGCTCCCTATATCTATGATTCTGTTTCTGTTCTGCTTGTTTGTTTATTTTGTTTTTTTAGATTCAATTATTCATAGATATGTATTTGTTGCCCTTTTTGTTCATATTTTTTATATTCTTTTTCTTAAAGAAGGCTATGTAATATTTCATATAATGCTGGCTTGGTGGTAATGAACTCCTCTAGCTTTTTCTTGTCTGGAATACTCTTTTTCTGTTCTTCAGTACTAGATGATAGCTTTGCTGGGTAGAGTAATCTCAGTTTTAGATCCTTGCTTTCCATCACTTTGCATACTTCTTGCAAATCATTTCTGGCCTGCAAAGTTTCTGTTGAAAAATTAGGTGACAATCTTATGGGAATTCTCTTGTAGGTAACTAACTGCTTTTCTCTTGCTGCTTTTAATATTCTCTTTGTCTTTAACCTTTGACATTTTAATTATGATGTATCTTGGGGCAGGCCTCTTTGGATTCATCTTGTTTGGGACTCTGCACTTCCTGAACTTGTGTCTATTTCCTTCACCAAGTTAGGGAAGTTTTCTGCCATATTTTAAAATAAGTTTCCAATTTCTTGCTCTCTCTCTTCTCCTTCTGGCCCCTCCCCCCCCCACCCCCATGATGTGAATATTGGTATGCTTGAAGTTGTCCCAGAGGCTTCCAAAATATGGTGTCCTTATTTTAGGGGGTTCTTTTTTTTTTCTTGCTGTTTTGATTGGTTGTTTTTTGTGTCCTTACATTCCATTCTGTTTGGTTCTTGGCTTCACCCATTCTATTGTTGATTCTCTATAAATTTTTCTTTATTTTAATTGGCATATCCTTCATTCCTGACTGGATTTTTTATGCTGCTGAAGTCTTGACTAAGTTCCTTGAGCATCTTTATAACCAGTGTTTTGAACACTGCATCTGACAGATTGCTTATCTCTTTTCACTTAGCTCTTTTTCTGGAGTTTCTCTTCTTTGATTTGGGCCATGATTCTTTGTCTCCTTGTTTCGGCAGCCTCCTTGTGTTTGTTTCTATGTAGTAGGTAAAGATGATTTGACTCTGTGTCTTGGTAAGTATGACTTAATGTAGTAGGTGTCCTATAGGGTCCAGTGACACAGCCTCCCCTATTACTCAAGTTAGTTATTCGAGGTGAATCCAGTGTGTGAGCTATGTGTGCCCTCCTATTGTAGCTGAGTCTTGATTGCTGTTGGCATGTCTAAGGTCAGCCAATGCCTGTGTTCTGTCCAGGGTCACACAGCATAAGCTACAAAGCCATCTGCAGATGCCTGCTACTTGTGCTGAGCTTGGAAGTGCCCAGGTGAGGCTAGTTGCTCCTAGTGCCAGTCCTGGGGCAACTTAGCAAGAGCTATCAGGCTTGTCGAAGCCAGATGCTGCTTATTGAGAGAATTTAGAAAAATCTAAAGCATCAGCCAAGGCAAGCCATTCATATGGAAAAGTCATTGGAAACAGCTTGAGTGGGCCCAAAATTTGGGTGGGGCTGGGTCTCAGGGATTGACTAGGGTGGGGAAAATAATGTGAGCAAGTTGATGGAGTCTCAGATATAGTGCCTGCCTTCTGGCAGTGTGGCTCCTTTTGAGGAGGGCTCAGGAGAGGAACAATGGCCTCTGCCAGCACTTCTGTCTGGGGGAGAGCTGTCCCACAGCTCTTGTCCTGATGCTGGGCAATTCATTCCTCTTTATATGTCTCTGATGCCCCCATGCTGGAGCTCAGAGGTAGTGAGTCTGAGTTATTTTGTGTGTGGGCCCTTTAAGAGGAACTGCCAGGGAGTCCAGCAGTTTCTGTCTTCCACAGCCTCAATTCATGCTGCTTTTTATAGCTAGAAGTTATGGCAACTTCTCTTCCTGGCACTGGAACTCTGGGTTGGGGGTCCTGGTTTGGGACTGAAACCCTTTTGCTCTGTTACTTTTGCACCTTATAATGGTCTTCAATGTATGAATGGAAGTCATGGATTTGGTGGACTGTCAGCACACAAAGTTTCCCCATCTGTTTCCTCTTCAAGCCCACTTATTATGTGGGAGCCACTTGTCCTGCCTTTGTCGCCTCCCCCTCATGTCCCTGCCCTCCAGTTAAGCAACCTCTCAAAGTATTTGGGGGGGGGGGCAAGGAAGAAGTGAATTAACCAAGAGAGGTACTTTCTTAAACATTAAAAACAAAGAAAAGCTTTAAACTTCCTCCCACCCCCTACTTTCTGGTTTGGTGCCAGTTAGTCATTTAAGAAACTGGTATGGAAAACGTACTAAACATCATAAAGCCAGTACTAAGCAGATCTCAACATAACCCCATACATTGTTGGTACTAGGGATGAGCGGGAGGAGGAGGAGGATCTCTTGCTGAGTCTTATAATGTTTGGAGACAATTATCTGGACAGCAGTGTATCTGAATCCCTATAGTTCAATGGATCCTCATTTCTCAGTTGTATGTTGTTCCTATGATTTAACTTCATTATTATTTAAAATATAGGGGGAAAAAACCTGGGTTTTGAGCAATAAATCTTTAGATTTTTTTCTTTCTTCTTTTAATGGCCCTAGGTAACAAATACAGGTTAATAGAGGCAAAACTTCCCTGCAGGTGAAGAGGCATGTGGTGGGGGAGGGATAAAACCTATTTTCAAGGTCAGGTGAAATTTCTACTAAAAATAAGGCTTTAGACACAGTGACAGTGAGGCATTGGTATCCATTATTGAATTCATAACCTGATGGATGAAAGTGAAAAATAGGGTCATCACTTCAGGATGCACCTTCAAGGCAATCACTATACATTTGGAAGTGGCATTTTGGAAATGCAGCAGCTTTTTAGTGAAGAACTCAGGGCCTCAAAGGCTAATGTCCCATCAGTGACTGGATTCTGCCTCAGGTGCAGTTCTTCAAGGCACAGACTCAAGACTCAGAGGAAACATTTCTTTCCCCAGAATGCCATTCCCCTCCACTGCATTGCGTGCTCCTGTAGACTGGCTTCCAGAATGACTGCAGCCAAACACCAAACAAAGACACAGGAACAGCAACAGGCAGCCGTTTTACATGGTAGGAATGCAGCCAGTTGCTAAAGGTGTATCAATATTTATTAGTGTCTACACTGGGAGGCTAAGGGAAAAAAAGCTAAGTCACTTCTTCAACATCACTGCATTTTCAATTTTAAAATTACTTTTTCATTGCAAAAATATATAGAGAAATTTCCAATGAAGTAAATAAAATCAAACAACATAAAGACATACACATACATAGTCAAAGGAAAAGTCCTCCCTCCTCCAGTCTCTATCTTTTCTCCAGAGGAAGCACCCCATCTGAATTTGGAGTGTCTCTTTTCAGAACTCTTTTCTCTGCCTTTACATACATATTTGTACATACAAATATATGGTCTTTTTTGGCATGAATAGAAAACTTGTTTTTTTAAATTTTATTTTGCGACTTATTAAAACTCTACAGTGTTTTTTGTAGATATTTCGATGTTAACATTCTTTTTCACAGATTCCACAGTATGATCATGACATTGGGCTGTTTACAGTTTTCATCATTATAAACAATGCTTTAACGCATACCTTGTTCTTGCATCTGTGTGCACAGGTGAGAGTATTTCTCTAGGACACTAACTAGAAGTGGAATTGCTAAGTTGATGGACAGGCTTATAAAAAGGGATGTTAAAATATGAATATTTCTGTTGTCTCTATTTTGTTCTAAGACCACACCATCTAAGAAGAAAATTCAGCAGGCCCTGAATGGTGAGGCTTAGTTGGTTGGGTATCATCCTTCAAAGTGAAAGATTGTGGGTTCAATGTCCAGTCAGGGCATATGCCTGGGTTGCAGATTCAGTCCCCAGTCAGGGCACGTACAAGAGGTAACCAACTGATATTTCTCTCATATCAGTATTTCTCTCTCTCTCTTTCTCCACCCCTTTTCCTATCTCTAAAAATAAATAAATATAAATCTTTAAAAAATATCCAATAGGTGCCAGATACCCACCTATGTACAACATACCTATCTATATGAGAAAAAGCTAAACCTTCTTTACAGTACATGAAGATTTCTTTAGGCAGAGTTACTGTAGGGCTGTGTACTGTAGCATCTCCCCCCTACCCTGGCAAATGAAGGTACTGGGCTGTGTTTTCTAACATCTAATTTATTAGATTTTAGGGCTGCCATATATAATACCACCAACTAGGTAGTTTAAAAACACACATTTATTGTCTTATAGTTTTGGAAGCTAGAAGTCCAAAGCCAAGGTGGTGTCGTCAGGCCTATGTTTCCTCTAGGAGAGAATTTGTCCTTGGCTTCCCTTTGTTTCTAGTGTCTGCTGGCTGCCCTTAGTGTTCCTCTGCTGACAGACACATCACTCCAATCTCTGCTTCTGCTGTCACATGGCCATCTTCTCCCTGTGTGTCTCTGTCTTCTTATAAGAACCAGTCATATTGGATGAAGAACCCACCCTACTCCAGTATTTTATCTTAACTTAATTACATCTGCACCTCTATAAAGATCTTATTTCCAAATAAGTTCAGATTCTGGAGCGCTGGGAGTTAGGACTTCAACATATCATTTGGGGGGACACAACTCAACCTCAACTCCTAGAAGTTTCTTGGTAAATGTCTCGGACCACAGCTGCCTGTGGCCACAGAGAAAAGAGGTCAGTGTTGGAAGCCAGTGTACTTTCACCAACCAAGTAAAGACATGGAGGACAGGGGTACAAATTTCCTATGAGGTATGTTTGAACCCCCTGGGGAAGTAGTTGGTTTTGAGTCACCTTTAAAAGCATCTCAAGAGGATTTTGTCCTAAGGGTGAGGCAGTCGATGGTGAAATAGAATGAAAGTATATCATACAAAACATGGGAGGGGTGGATGTAAAAAGGGAATATGTCAGCAGAAGGCAGTCAAGTGAGATACCTCCAGCAATGAAAAATCGCCAAGAACCCACACAAATACCAGGAAAGAAAAAAGGTCAGATTTTGAAAGCTGCCACCCCTAGAGAGCACAATGACAGTCTGATTTTTCGCCAGTCAAGAAAAAGCTTTTCAGTTCCTCCCAGCTTCATGCTTGACAATCTAACAGTAGCCAGGGAGCGAGAGGGCAGAACAAGAAGTAACCTGCTACACCACCAGGCTTACTCCCAGTTTCTGAGTTTAAGTCAGGCCTGAGCAGTGGGAAGCAGAGAGGTTTTAACTTGGACAAGGGTAAGGAGTTTGGATATGAGTGCACTTTTTACTATTTGAATATGAACAGGAAATATGAATAGGAAAGCTATGAGAACTGTTTATAATTTCATACAAAAATGATGAGTGAAGATCAACACAGTGGGTGAAAGGGGTAGTTTTGAGAAAGAAAAGAATTATTTTCTGCCTCCTCTTTACCAAGTTCAACTCATTCAATAAGTCAATACCATACATTTTAATTTTGAGAAAGACTTTGGAATTATATTTTTAAAAGACAATCCATTAACATGCCATCAATTGTGAGAGTATTTATTTCTCCACGTTAATCATTATTGATCTTTTAAATTTGACCCATATGATGGCCTAAGAACATCTCCATGGTTAATCTTTTGCTTTCTTGATTACCAAAGTATTTGAACACTTTCATGCTTGTTGAAAATTTGTATTTAATTTGTGAATTGCCTGTCTATAACATTTATCTATTCTGTTGGGTTGCTTATATTTCTCTTGATGATTTTTAGGTAATCTTCAGTGAAATCTGGATAGTGCGATTGATTCATAATACTATGGATTCAGGAGTTAAGGACTGATCAGAATACAAATAGCTGAATTTGTCATAATGTTTTAAAATAATTACCCAAAAACTCTACATTTCTACCTAGGATTTGTGTCTTAATCAGTGAGAGCTGCTATTTTGCTTTCTAGGCTCAGGGGCACAGGTGGCTACTACCCACATTTGTCCTTCAATTAAGCATGCACAATCCAAGAGACAGGCTCCACCCAGTTCTTCAAATCAGTCCAGTTATCTGTCCTGATGGAATTTCAGAGTGGTGGGCAACTCCAAACTGCAAGAAATGAAAGTTGCCTCTAATCCTCAGGGAAAATATTCAGCTTCCTGGAATGGTACAATCCTGGCAAAAGGAGGAAGGAGTAGTAGGAAATAGAGCAAAGGAATAAACTTCCAAGTTTGAAATCATTAATCTTAAAATCAAATCTAAAGCTGGAATTGTAAATTTAGTGATATTTCCTGCTTAATCCCCTTTCCATCTTTTCACGGGTTTGCTTTTCCTAGAGAAGAGTGACAGACCTATCAGACCTATCTCGATTCATAAAAGGAACGTGAAGAAGTGATGGTAGAGTGAGTGCATGAGTCAGCTCCACAGTAAGCTCTGAGAGCATGGGCCCCTATGGCATGATGAGTATGAATGCAGCCTTGGATTCCAAGGACTGAGCAGACCTGTAATATAAAAATAAGGTCTTACTCATGGCTAAGAGAAGAGGCAGCTGGCACTAAAAACTTACTATAAAGAGTTTACACTCCCCCTGTACCCACATACATTTTTGTTTGTCCTGTTCACTGTTGTAGGAATAAAGTGTCTCCATCAGATGATTTGGAAGCAGCTTGTGAAGTTTAGACAGGTTCTCAAAGGTGTGACGCAGAACTTCAGGGTGGTCATAGCTTTTAGGTGTGTTGCATTTGTCAAGAAGTGGAAGCTTCAGCACAATTTGATTGTTTTTGGCCGTTCTCATGATGACCCACTGAGTTACAGAGAAGAACAAATAGAGAATTTGAGGAGTGAAGCCCCTTGAAGTTGTTCTTTCTCCAAGCTTTTCTCCATCTCCAAGAAGATATCATGCACTCTATTTTCTAGTCTCTGATTGCTTAGCATTCTGAGAGTCACAATGGCCCAGACCTTAGTCTGGAACTCTGAGTGCTCATCCTGAATCTTCAGACCCAAAGAAGTCAGCCTGTCAGAAAAATATCTTGTCAGGGGATTTTAAGCAGAAACTCCAGTTTTCTGTCTGGACATGGACAGTATCTGAGGAAAACAGTGCTTTCCCAAAAAGAAGAGGGAAACGGGTGTGTGTACACATCCAGTGTTATTTTCCCATCTGGTCCTTAGAAGCTGTAAAACTTGCGTGTCCACAATTAAGGCTCCACAGCCCTGAGAAAGAGAACATCAACACAGTTCTTGAGCAGAACTGAGGAAAGAGCTTCATCGTCCAAAACTGAAGAAATGTCCAGATTAACACAGGTAAGCCACCAAACTGCTTCTTATTCTCTTACCCAAATTAACACAGGGGAAACAAAGGAAACAAACAAAAATGCTCAAATCTAGCTTTACTGGTAGAAGTTATTCTTCATTGAGGATAAAAAAATAGGACAGTAGAAGTATTAAAAATTGTCACACTTGATAGTACAATCCCAAGCAATATAGTGGCTGCCAAGAACTCCCAGATTTGGGGCAAAAATAAGAATAATAAGATTTGTTTTAGCTACTCCTTAATCTCAGCACACTCCATCAACTCATCCAGTTCGCCATGACTGCCCTAGCCTGTGAACTGGCTGGGTGATCACAGTGCAGCACGGTGAGAAGTACAGGAGCCAAAGAATCAAGCATGCGACTGCAAAAGCTGCTCATGCTGGCTGGCATTTTACCTAATGAAACCCCTTGGCCAAAACTGTAACAACTTCATGATTATATCATAGCATTAATGCCAAGAGCAGGAGATAGACAATTTCACTTCTTAGTTTTCAACTTAGAATCCTCCTAAGCCAGCACTTCTTTTCTTATTGTGACATGAGTTGCTATAAAGAGCCAGTAGCACCATTTAGATCCATCCCTCGGCATAGCAGCTGCAGGACTCTGAGCTGTTTTTCTATATAGGCAGATCTCTCATTCATGACTTATAGATAAACAGCAATTTCTTCCTTCTTTCTTTTTCTTTTCTACCTCCCTCCCTCCCTTCATTTGTGTTCCAAAGAGGGGTGTTTCGTCCCCTGAACACCTTCCACTTTCCCTCTGCCATGGTGAATGTGACAAGATCAGCTGGATCCCAGAAGGCAAAGTATTCAGTAATGTTCAAAGAGAAAAGATCATCTCCAAGTTTCTCAAAGAAAGTGTCCTAAAGAGAGTGTTCCGTTCAAAGCAAATGAGGTGGGAGGGTCCCAACTACCAGAAAGAGGAGTCAAGCTACTGCTTTCCTGCCACCAGAAAGTAAGTCCTAATCCTGAAACTTAAATCAAAATTCAAAGTAAACTCATAATACAAGGCTAAGAAAACATAATTATAGAGGTAGGCATCAGAAGGACTGGAAGAAGTTTTAAGCAGTTTAAACAGTAGAATCAAGTCTCTCAGACAAATATAAATAAAGGTGGAAATATGATTGAAAATTCATTCAAAAGCACTAACTGTAACATAGGCAGACAGAATTTACTGATGTGTTTATCTTACTTTTGGAAATATATTCATATACATCGCTATCATATTCATTCTAAGAAGAAAGAAAATTTAAACAAGATTCCTTATATTTTTGCAACAGAAAGGTGGTCTCTCAAGTAAGGGAACAAAGTATTAAAGGTTAATTTTTCAAACAAAAACACAGCTTTTAACAAAACATTTTATATTCCTAAAAAGGAATTATACAAACACAAGAAAGTTAGGCTAGTTGAGGTAAATTCTCATAGAAATGGAGTCCAAAATCGAGGATAAATGTAACTGGCCATGAGTGAAAGACAAAGCAGAAAAGGGAACAAAAAACAAGTTAGCTAAATCAGCCACTAAATACAAACTGCTCATAATTGAAATGTTCCCCACTCATTTGGCATCCATCAGAAAACAAAAATGCATATTATTAATTAGAAAATAACAATCTTACTTACTGAAAATATACACATAATTACACTGAATGAGATTCTATGATCAGCCATGACCTTGGCAATAATGTAGGGGACAATAAAAGGAGATGGAGGCAAATGCACAGTCAGTGTTAAAACAAAAGAGGTATTGAAAGAGGTAGACTGAAACAGAAGAAGCCTTTCCCCTTCCGAGTAAACAGAAACTAAACAATGTTGTCATTGACATTTCTTAGCATAACCATGGAGTATGAAAAAAAAACATACATCAAAGTGCTTTCCAAAATAGTTATCTGGTGGTCAATATGTTACCTTTGCCATAGTAGGAGAACTTGAAGTGGGCAGTAAGGCATGCTTACCTACTAAGCGATTCACTCAAAGTTTTCCTTCTTTTCCTCCAATTCAGACTACCTTCATTGTAATTAATGCAAGGGCTTGTTGAATGACATGAAACAGAGAATATTGGTCTTGCCCTACTCCATTGGATTAGCTAAAGAGGTACAGGTTCGAAGTAAGGCAAGCCTAAGGCTACCACTGAAAACTGAATTCAGAGCACCTTGGGATGGCCTAGATGGATGGTGTGCTCTTTTGGGCCAAGGACTAATGTTAAAGCTGGACCAGACCCACTGCAGAGAACAGCCCACTGTCCAGATAATCCCCTCACTCTCAAGGCTGGATTTGAGCCAAACCAGACTCAAGGGTTTGGATAGGGCATCGTTCTCTTAGTTGTTGCCCTTATATTTCACAGGACGACATTTCACATTTAGTTCTTCTCTCTCTTAGCCTTGTCTCCTCACCACTTAGTATGGGTGCTCCCCTGTAAATACTGTACAGGGACTATCTTGACACTATAGTTTTAAGCATATAATACTAAAGTCTTTATCAATTCAACAAGTGGGTGGGTGCATGGTTTTGGTGCTAATGCCAAAGGGTTTGAAGGTCTCCAGAAAAGGGAAGTGGAGGCAAGTAGGGATAAAAGAAAAGGAAGGTTTTAGAAATATTTCTGTCAAGGAAAAGAAAGGAATCATAGAGGATGCTTTAAATGGAATACTGGACTCTATTCTTTAGGCATTAGGAGGGTATTTGTTTTAGATCAGAGCTGTGGAAAACAGTGTGAAGCAGGAGAGTGCTTAGGAGGGAGGTGTCCAAAGAGGCATAGGCTAATCTTATACTTATTCTCCTATAGTTATTGTGCTTTTACTATGTGCCCAGCACAGCTTAAAGTGATGGGAATTCAGCAATGAACTAGACAGGCAAGCCCCTGCCCTCATACAGAGTTATATTCTACTGGGAAGACAATTTAAAAAGCAAACAAGACTAAGAAGATCACAAGGAGTACAGACAAGAAATTTTAAAAAAAAGGTGTTATGAAATAGAATAATGTGTGTGGAAAAGGCTTTTTGAAAGTGAAGTCAGGAAAGGCTTTTCTGAGAGGAAAATAAAAATGCAGAGCAAGGAGACAACCACCTGAGGGGGTGGAGATGGGGGTCAAATATCTGAGAAACCCTTGAATTGTGTTCAACATCTGGTATATATTCTTATGTGCATTTTCCTGGGAAGATACTCAAAGGAGCATGGATCCCTTTCCCCTAAATGTTGAACCAGTGCATTTAGATGCTTAACAAAACATTTTGGGGGTAGGATCTAGAGCTCATGTTCAAGCTAACAGAATGCAATAGTTTCCATCAGCAAAAGATGGCAAAAAAAAAAAATTCTTCCTCAAATGTCAATGCTTTATTGTACCTGCATCTGACAAATATTTTTAGTATTTACTTACATATACAAATATATGGCAGTCACAAAATGTGTAAATATTCACTAACGTATTTACTTACGTATAACAATATGTCCACATTCTATAAGTGTTTATATACATGTAGTTTTTCCTCTCCTCCCCCCACTCCAAATAATTATTTCATGGAACTGAAGTAAGAGATATGAATTTGGAGTGCAAAATTGGGCTATCAAGATCTAAATGCATCATAGAAAAAAAGAAATCAACGTCTGTTCTTCCAGTTGTAATACCAATGACTGAGCTGGACCTGACCGGAGTCGTGCAGGCTGGGCTCTCAGCAGGGATATTTCCTCCTTCTACTTAAAGTATCAGTATTTATGACACTACACGTTATAAGCATAGACAGAACTTTACATATATCCATGCATATACATAGATTAGTCTTGTCTAGCCGGGTACAGCGCAGAGCTCCGGGCTTCATGTGAACCCGCGATGGTGTGGAGGCGGGCGGGTGCGCAGGGTGGCGGGCAGTCAGGAGGATAGTTCAGGGTCAGGGCCGGAAGGCTGCGCCTGAGTGCGGGACACCGGGGGCGCTGAGGCCGGGATCCCCGCCGGTGTGGAGCCCCGCCCCCAGCGGGCCACCTACCCACGGCGGCCCACGAGGCCGGGACGCCCTCGAGGAAACCCAGAGGGGCGCGTGGGTGGGAGCCCGAGGCCCGGCGCCCTTCTCGGGCAGCGTCGCCCGTTTGGCGGGGTTGGTGGCCTGGTGCCCATCTGATGCCCCGGGCCTGGGCGGCCGCTGCCAACCCCGAGACCAGGGACACCCGTGGGCCCGAGGGAGCGCGAGGCCGTCGGGGGCACTCGCGCTCGACGGTGGTTGCCGGGAAACCGGGTCGCGGGAAAAGCCAACCCGCGGGCCTCGCAGGCCGTCCGCCGCCGGCCGCTGCCCGCCCTGTCCTCCCGCTGCAGGAAGGCCAGGTCGGAAGGGGCGCCCGTCCAGCCGCCCGCCCCGCAGGCGGAGGGGCCGGGGCCTCGGGGCCGCAGCGCACCGGGAGACGACGCCGGGGACAACACGTGGGCCGGCGACGCCGCCGTGGGGTAAGAGGCCAGGCTCCACCTGCCGGCCGCGGTTACCCCACCGAGCTGTGCGCAGGCTCACTCCGGGCTTTGCACCCCCCAGCGGCACCTTTCGGCAACCACCCACCTCCTGCCTCTCCGGCCCTAAAGCTCCTTCCCGGAATCCCAGTCACAGAGACCGCCGGGTCTCTGAGCCCCTCCCCCAGGTGTAGTGGCCCTTTCCTGGCCCCAGGTGCCCTCCTCCACGGCGCACACCTGGCCGGCCCCGGGCAGCAGCCGCCGTCCTCCTTCAGTCCTCCACTCCAGTGTCGGGCATAGAGTAGGTGGATCAATATCCACTGATGAAAAACTTTCCTGAACTGTGTTTTCCATTTCTTCAGGATACACCTTCCCCTCTAGGAGACAATAAAATGTAAACAATTAGCAAATATGCTGATTACTGCAGTAGGCTTTGGATCCCAGCCGTGAGAGTTTGGTATGGAAAATAGTGTTTGGTCCTGTGGACCTTTTAGTGTCTCTGAAACGTTCGTGGGGCCCTTGCTCTGCCAGTTTGTGAGGTTAATCCTGTTTCGAATGGAGCGCTTGTTTTGAGTGATTAAAAACAGCGTTTATGACCCTGCTTTATAGGTTCCAGATAATTCACCATATTTTTCTAATTTGTATTTCATTTTCCTATCTGATAATATCTCCTCTCTCACCTCAGATCTTAATTTCCTAATCTTCTGTCAGATCTAACAATTTGCTGTCGTCTCTGCCCCACCCCACTCTTTTTTGGCCTGGATTGCCCCCTTGCTTTTTTGGTTGATTTTCTATTGTTACCCACACCCTACTCTCATAGCCCCTTCCTTCTGTTTTCTAAATATTTTTTATACCCCCTTTAGATGGGAAGCCAAAGCTCATGCTTTTTTAAAATCAATGTTGTACCTTACCCATAAATGCGCCTGTTCCACAACCTGTATAGGATTTTAAGGAAACAAAGAAGCAAAATGGGGAGAAGAAATGGTGAGAACTGTGGCACCAACCTGCGTGTGTCAAACATCTCTCATGAGGTATGGCAAATGCTACTGACCTTGGGTGTCTGGGCAGCAGCTCCCACTGGTTAAGACCTAAATCCCACTGAATCTTCCTGCTGAGATCCCTCGTTGCTGTCTCTCCATGAGCAGTTTGTCCTGAGTTTTCCTCTTGGCACATTTGGAATATCAAATGGAAAAATTTTACTTCTTGTGACAAAGACAGAGCTAGCCAGTTTCTCTCCAAATCTAGGGACATTTCTAATTACAATTGAATTTCATTTTATTTTCTCACACATATTTTGTGGAAAATAATGGTAAAGTAGGTGGGATATCAAAAAGAATAACCAATTCCCAGCCTGTAAGGAGTTTGCAATCTAGTTGGCTTCATGTGTGGATGATGGCCTTCTTTACCAGTTGACAAACTTAGTTACATTAATTTGATTGCATGACCTCAACAGCACAGTTCACCAGCTCTCTTTACCATGCAAGTTTAAGGATAACTCTCTCACATGTTATTTTGCACATTAGTGTACCAGGGTTACAGACATAGCTGAAAGGAGCTTGAGAATGTCAGGGACATTTTAAAAATACAAATAACTAGACTGTATCTTCATCCTACTGAATCAGAATTCAGAGTATTATTTTTAAAAAGCTCCCCAGGTAATTCTCACATAGAGACTAGATCTAAAACATACTATTTCAGAGAACAGAGAATAACTTACAAATTTTATCTTTCAGACACTACCAGAAAAGGAGAATCTAGCCTTCCTTTCAAGATTCAACTCTCCTTCCTATCAGGAGATGATCCCTGTGGATCAGTTAAATCTTCATGCTGTATTTGGGCTTATTTTCTCTCTGTTCCTCCATTAGGAGATGACACCTAATGCTACCTAACATTTTATTTGTATATTGCTTAGAGTATAACTTACAAAGGATTTCCTCATTTGAGATAGAATATAACTGAGTTCATTCCTTAAAAAATTTACTTTTTAAAAAATTAATCACCTCTTCACATTTCCTTTTCTAGGATAAATTATTACAACCCTCTCCTACACATCCCACATTTTTTTCCCCATAGCACCCAGCACAATGTCTGGGACATAAATACTCAATCACTGTTAGTACATTTTCTTACTCATTTTTTGACTTTTGAGTATTTCCTGAGTGTCCTTCAACAACTGTAGCCCATAATGAGTAGTGGGCTGTTCATTGTCGAGTATCATGTGAGGATTAGAGAATTTTCTTTGATGGAAAGATTTTATAGGCTTTCAGATATGGTACTCAGATATAGAAGATTTGGAGAATTTGACATTGTGTACCAGAGACACAATGAAGTGGGCATTTTATTATATTTTTTAACTCAATTTTGAAAACCGATGTGCCATTATTTTTAACAAAGTCAAAATGAGAGGGAAATCATAAATTATTATAAAAGCCTTTCCATTTCCTGGCTAATAATTGTAATCAAGCTCATAATAGCTGTTAGTACCCTTATAGGAAGGAGGGGGTCATGAAGTTTTGGGCCTTTTTTTACACTTTACCCAAAGGACATGTAAAATTATGTACTTGAGGTTTTAAAATTTTCTTAACATGGAATTTATCCTAAAACAAATATTGTTTTAGAATTTATCTCACTGGAATTTGGATTCAGAAGTACCTGTTCCTGAAAATAAAAACCTCCCACTTGGAAGGGATAGTGCAGCAGGTGGTAAGAAATCCTAGATGTGTATATTTATAAATATGTATACTTATATTTATAAATATATGAAAAATTTATATTCATTCGTATAATATCGATTCATGTTAAAGGGGGTTTGGTTTTGGTATAACTAGTTTTATGTAACTATTAATTGTTATTTTTATATACATTCTTTCAGGCAAAAGTAACAAGGTAAGGATAAATGTTTGGCTTTAAATAATTCATGAAACATTATTTTAAAAGTATGTGTATGTTCTTTAAAAATATTATTTCCTCAAAGTTAAACTTTGTATTTCATTTCTGTAGAGTTCTTTAATCAAGTCAAAGCCATTAGTTTTTTACAATACTGCAAATTGGTCATTAAATTAATATTTTATTATGTTTTTTTCTTTTTTTTTAATCTTCACCTGAGGACATTTTTTTCATTGCTTTCTAAAAAAGGAAGGGGGAGAGAGAGGAGAGAGAGAGAAAGAGAGAGAGAGAGAAACAACAATGTGAGAGAGAAACATCAGTTGGTTGCCTTCTTGTATGTGCCCCAACTGGGATCAAACCCGAAACCTGGGTGTGCCGTGAGCAGGAATCAAACTGGCAACGTTTTGGTGTATGGGACAGTGCTTCAACAAACTGAGCTACACCAGCCAGGGCTATGTTAAGTTTTTTTCAATATACAATTCTATAAATCGAAATTAACTTTGTAGTGAATATAGTGCTTTCTAGTCATTGCCAAAAGGGAAATGGTCTCAGCCCTTAAGTTATCTGAAAGCAGTTGAAATGGTTAATATTTTGTTTTGAAGTACTGAGAAAATTCATTTTTCATTTACCTTCTTTTGATAAAGATATAAAACACTTAACTTTTAGTAAAATACAGATAATCAAGGCTCTAGTTAACACTGTGTAGTTGGTACTTAAAAGAGTATACTAATTCCTGCTGATGTCAGTAAAAACAAAAGATGAGAGTATTATAGGATTTTACTATATATTTCTTGGATGGAACTGTATATTCCTTAGTTACAACAACTATACAGTCTTAGAACAGGTATAGGGAACAAAGATACGTTGTGTTTAAAAGTCTTCTGTTGCTTTATAGAACCATTTGGAAATTCCAGTAGAGCAACTGATGCTAGAACTCAATTTGTCAGAGACTGCTCACAAAAGAACACAGGTGGGATTCTATTCATCATACTCCTTTCCTAAAGTATTATTTTTAAAAAAATGCATGGAGTTGCTAAAATGTTGTCCATGGCTTTTCCATTATCAGAAAAGTAAAGAAGGGATATTTCAGTTATGGAGTTATCCTGTTGACGAAGGAAGTACCATGAACAACAGGTGAGAGGATATTTTTGTAAACCCATAAATTAATAAAATAAATTTAAATACAGATAACTTAACTACTTATCAGAAGTACTAGGACAAAAAAAAAAAAAACAGGAAAAAAAAGTATTGTGTGTAAGTAATGGGAAATTATAGTAACTCTCCCTGAAATAGTGGCTGGCAGACACTACAGAGATACTCATTCATGGTCATTGAGAGTTTACTATGTTGTTTCAATGAGGGCTTAGATGGATAGAGTGTGGACTTCTGACTGAAGGAAAAAGGACTTGTAATAAGAAAGTATTGTGATATTCCATGTGCTAGGAACAATTTCTTATATGTATTAACCCATATAATCCTCACAACAATCCTATAAGGTAGGTACTGTTATCATCATCCCTGTTTTATAGATGAAGAAATTGAGGCCAGATGACAAGTTAAGTAACTTGCTCAAAGTCATACAATTAATGAAGAACCAGAATATAAAAGTAGCTTGATTCTTGCTAATAACCACAATAGTATATTGCTTCTGAGAACTTGCAGAATTTGAATTCTTATTTTTTGGTTGTTAAACTTTAGTGTGCATAAGAATCAGCTATAACAATTCTTAAAAATTCAGGTTACTGTTATTTGGAAAGTATTATTTATTGAACACCATTGTGTCAGTTTTTCATACAGTGTATTATTTAATGGACTTGACTTCTATTCCTCTTTTTTGTATCCACTTTTGACAATAGGGTGGTTCATTGGATAGCAACTATCAGAGGCTCATTATAAACTTACCTACCAAACTTTGAAGGGTAAAACCAGAAAGTGCTAAAGGGATTGTACTGATTAATGTCCTAAGGGAATGAATGTTGGTGCTGATAGGGATAGGCAAGGCTAGTTTTACTAGAAAGAACTCAGCTGGGAACAAGGACTTCAAGGTAAAGGTCAAATGAAATGAATTCTATCATACTAACTAGCAGAAGAGCAAACAGCAGAGTGCAGCCTAGATCACAGACATGGTATCCCACCACGTGGGCTTACTAGATATGTGGCCTTAACCAGCCTTTCCTCAGTTTCCTTATCCATAAAAAGTAGAAAATAAAAGTGCCTATTTCATGGAGTTGTCAGGACTAAATAGAATAATGTGTTTGATAGGCATTTCCTGTTGATACTGGGAAGGCCTAATAATATTTGCAGAGTTGGAAACTTGGTATCAGCGAAATATTTTATTACAGAGATTTTTCTCCTCAATACACCATCAACAAGTAAAGAGAATCGAAGTAATGGTAATTTTCATTCAGTGTTTAACATTTTTGCAAAGTCTGTTAATTTAATCATCTTGTTTCTTAGGCATTCTCATTTCCTATTATGCTCACTGGTGGCAAAGGGGTCAAACATAGATCTTTTGTCTCCAGATCCCTGCTTTTTTTACTGCATGACATGGATTGTGCCTACTACCAATTGTAGGTTTAAAGTAATTTTCCTGTGGTTTTTTCAAAGGCAAGTCAATATACCTAATATTTAAATAAATAAATTTTTACCATTTTTTGTAGAAATGGTAAACTGGCTTTAAAAGAAGCAAATATATATATATGTATATATATATTTATATATGTATATATATGTATATATGTATATATATGTAAATATTAATTTATATTAATATATACATATATGTATATATATGTGTAAATATTAATTCCATTATACACACACACATATTTTATACATAAATATATTATTGTCATATCAGGATTAATTTGATCCAATTAATGGATGAAATCTTTCAGTATCAGTAGTTCTATTTAAAAAACTAACAATAAACTGAGTATTCTGTGGCCTGCCTTTTTTTTGCAGTTTCACTTTAAATAATACTCAGAAGTATTTACTCCTAAAGCAAAAGAGCACCATCAAATAAAAATTAGTATGGACTATCTGGGGTGATTTTTGTTTGATATACATTGTTTTGATTCCTTTTTTGTTTGAATAATTTTTTAAAACCACAATGACTAAAGTAGAATGCTTTATCAAGTAAGTAACCTAACTATGTTCTTTAAGAGTTTTCTTTTATCTAATTCTGGGTCAATAAATATTTTACTATAATTTCAGTTTGAGTTGGATAGCCTCCTTTTCAGACAGCATAATTCCATGTACAAAATATTTATAGGCAAATAGATATAATTAACCACTTTTAATCTATTGGCCATTCATAGCCACAGTTAGACAGCTGTAGTTATAATGATCTCATTATCTGCATGAACAAGGGATGCCCAGTTAATATTTTAATTGATAGTTTAAAAATGTATATAGTTGTATATAATCAAAGCATATTTGAAAATTAACATATTTCTGTTTAGATAGACAGATACACATATGCCATTGGGAGCTAAATATTAACCAGTCTTTAATAAACGTTACATATTCATTATTATTTAATAGCATTTTAATTTTAGTCATCAAGCCATTCATTAATTAAATCATTTTTAAGGGATTTCAAAAAACCTTCTATGGAAATTGGCTTTAATACAATCAACAGTCCCATAAAGTTCTTCACTCTGAACCACTCACTACCAAGCGCTCCAGTTGATAAGCAAGTTGGTTCTTACTCTGAACTGCCGACATCAGCAGGTCTCTGCTGGTCCTATGCCGATGGAGACTTTTTTAAAGACAGAAATGAGGCTCATGTTAATTTATGTTCAACTATAGAAAATAATGGTGAAACTTTATCTGCTCCAAATTGGAATTTGAAATATGGAAACAGCAGTGTAGAAGAAAATTTAACAGATGAAAGTGATTTATCAGAAAATGAAAAGGCAAATGATGCTCTACTCAGCTATTTTAAAAAGATGGACCTGAACTTAAAGCCAGAAACAATAGAAAATGTTGAAGAATCTTTCACAGAAGAACCGAGTGAAGTATTTCCATATCCTGATTTTCTCCCTCCTCCTTTCAATACTCTGGACTTGCACAAATTAGCCTTCTCAAAATCTGAAAATTGGAAAGCAACAGTGGAATCCCCAGAAAGTCGTATTGAACATTTGATAACTCGTTTATTGGAACTAGAACGATTACAACATATGACTATACAAAAAGAGAAACCAAGATTACAAACTACCTTCTGTACGCCAGCTGTTACTGAAAGACCCTCTTCCTCCAAAACTATACCAAAAATGAGACAGCCAAAACTTTCTGAGTCTGTAAGTCTTCAGACAACTTGTATAGACAAAACTAGAGAAAAAAGAAAAAATAATTCTGGTACTTTCAAGCTTGAACAAACTGCTTCAAAATGGAATTGGAGCAATGTTGGCAAATATAAATGGGATTGTAGACCACCATCTCTAAAAGGTTCATCCACAACAAAACAACTGATGACAACTTACGATGACTTTAAGAATCCCAAAAGCTCAACTTTAAGTCCATGCCAAGAACCCTCAGCCAATCCAACTACTGCCCAAACAACTCAGTCACTGGTTAAGCTGGTTTCAGCAAGACCTTGTCTGCCAACAAGGTCTCTAATACCAGTTTCATCCATAACTCTATCTTTTCCTGAAAATCAGACAGAAGAAATTAGGGCACCAAGGACCAAAAAGAAACTTTACCAAAAATACATAGAATTAAACAGACCATTCTATATTCAAAAGCTAAACTGTTTATCACCTTCATTTATAACTAAGGGTAAGTGCTCATCCATTGAGCAAATATAACATTCTCCCCCATACATCTCAATATGAGCAAATCTATCCCAAGAAGCCCAGCTAAAAATGCTTCATCGTTTCAAGATGCAGGTATTAAACACACACACATGGCACACAAACTAATTACTTGATGTGACCATGGAGTGGAACTTGTGGAAACCACTGCTGAAATCAGTCTCTATATCAACTGAAGGTAACATGTTAGACAATCTGTTGCATGTTATGTTTCAAAACATTTCCCTTAGTAAACTGTTCCACTCAAAAGATTGTTCTTTTGTGGTGATTGTTTCCCAGTATAATTCCATCATCAATAAATGGTATAATTGACTTATAGCTGCTATAGTTATTCCTGTGTTCAATTATACACACATAAGAGTTGCAGTTAGCTCTGTCAGTGATTTAAAAAAAATTTTCCCACTGTTACCTTTTTTCTTTCCCTTCTCATTTCCACAATCTCTTTCATCTATTATTTTGACCTATCTTTGAGTATTTGGCCATTAAAAGCTAAATAAGTTCCTGTTTTTGTTAAATTAATATGTAAGATCCTTGAGGTTTTCCTATGAATTCTTAAAAACTTTCCATTTCCCAGGCCCTTTGTCACTTGAAAATAAGATCAAATCTCTTTGGGGCCTAACTGTAGGTTTAGGCATGAAACAACCTTCTTTACTAAGATCTAATAGTCTTTAAGTGTCCAAGGAAAAATGGGAAAAGTCACTGTCCATAGAATAGCCAGATTATCAGGTTAATGGCACTCCTGCCTTCACCCCACAAGATTCTTTGTTGCTGGAATTCTTAACCCTGGTTAGTGAAACTCAAACAAAGCTAAAAGTTAACTCATTAACTTGTGAAAAGGGAAACTACTGATTAACACTTACTGCACCTAAGAATCAGGGAAACAAAAAGGTAGAGTCCTGGGTTCTATTGCAGGCTTACAGAAACAGAATCTTTGGGACTAGGGCCCGGGTACCTAAAATATAAACACACATCCCAGATAATTTTAATGCAGGTGGTTCTCAGATCACACTTGGAAACACACTGTAAAGGAAAAACTTAATGTAACACACATATCAGAGTTTGGATATTTGGTGGGTTGGTAGGTAGCGTGCTTTGGTTTTAGTGAATGGTTGGTCAATTTAGTTTTTATTAAACATTAAAATAAAGCCACACGATTAAAACTTCAAGTGTTACCCAAAGGTAAACATGAAAAGTAAAAGGCTTCTCCCTATCCCCAACCCCACACACAAAGGTAGTCAGGGACTTTTTGTGTATCATCCCCCCCAAATAAGATGAAATATTTGTATTAGGGAGGAATGGAATGAATTAAAGGATAATTCAAATGAATGTTGAGGAGAGCAATTGTAGTTTATGTATTCTATCCTATCTTTAGTAAAAGAGTAAGGCTCAATTAGCTTTCTTGGAGGCAGGGATCAAAGAACATGTGCTTAGTTTTTAGGTTAATTTTCAATAATTTTCTGGAACCATATCAACAGAGCAATAGAGGGCAAATTTAACTGTTCAGAATACCTTGCTATATAATAGAATTTTATGTAAATCCTATACAAGTAATGCCATTATCCAAAGTGGTGTAACATCCCTTTCACGGGGTTATAATACAATTATAAACATATTTTCACTCACTTCCAATTGACACTGATCTTCTTTCTCCTATCAACTCTCTTTAGATTTCATTCAAGTTCTAACTCGAGTTCTGATCCTTATTTACCAGTCCTTTGTACCCATTCTCATTTCTACCTTCTTCAACTGTTTGAATTTTATCCCTTTAGGGTCGTGATGCGATTATTTGTAAAACCTCAAGACATGACTGTTCTGTTCACCACTGTATCCCTAATAATCATAGTAGATACATACCCTTCAAATTATCTGATTAAGGAATAGACCTTCTCCATCACTGAAGATTTTTATGCATGACATAGCATTTACAAGCATTGACTCCATAGCTAGGCTGCTAAATTCAAACCCAGGCTCTGCCAATTAAGAGCTCTAACTCCTCAGGCAGGGTCCTTAATCAGTTCTTCACTTTTCTCACTTGTAAGGTGGATAGAATATCTTTTATCTAATATAATGACGTGGTGATAAATTGGCAAAGTAAAAATCATATAAAGTAGGAATGACACAGGACTGAATGGAATGAGCTGCCTCAGCACTGAATTAACTCACTGTTTTGATGTCCTACTTCTCACAAGGCACATGCTAGGCACCGGGTACGGTGTAGAGTAGCAAGCATAAACCCTGGATGTTAGTAAGACCAAGCAGGAGTGGCAGTAAGCATGGGAGATGGGAAACTGGAGGTAGGGAGGAGCATTTTAGAAGTAGAAGAGGGATCAGTCTGTCAGAGGTTCCATGGAGTTGATAATGCACTATGGATAGCTTTTGTTCTTTTGAGTGGTGTGTGTGTGGGAGGGGGGTAGGGCAGTACTGATAGGGAAGGGTAGATTTCTTACTGGAAACAACCAGGCTACTTTATCTTTATTTAGGATGCCATTAGACCTAAACAAAAAGAAGCTATTGTAACACCTACCAGATCATTTTCAATTGAGTCCAAAATTGCCCTATAGTTATGTAAAAAATACATTAGCTGACTTCAATTATGAAGCAGAGACTAATAATTTTTAATGTCATGCTTACTTAGTAAGAATATAGTTATTGGGAATCTTTGTTGTTTAAATTGAACCTTAAAATGAGGCCAGGAAGTGGTGTGTAGGAAACAGATGTAGCCATCTCACTTTGTAGAATGGGCAAAACACTTGGTTCAAAAAGGCAATATGCATGAATTTGGTGAAGAAAAATTCACTGTGGGCAATGGGGGGTGGAATGTAGTTATAAACAAATATATCTATCAGACCTGTTGAAACCATTTTTGAAGAAATATTTGGCAGGCTTTAGTACATATAATAAATGAAAATAGCCCTGATTGGTGTGGCTCAGTGGATGAGTGCCCACCTACAAACCAAAAGGTTGCCAGTTCGTTTGGTTCCCAGTCAGGGCACATGCCTGGGTTGCTGGCCAGGTCCTCAGTGGACGGCGCATGGGAGGCAACCACACATTGATGTTTCCCTTTCTTCCTCCCCTCACCTCTCTCTAAAAATAAATAAAATCTTTAAAGAAAATAAAGTAATTCTGTTCAGGAAATTTTCAACTTGGTTTGCTCTTGGATTCCCATGCTTATTAGCTCTCCACTATTGACTTTTTCTTAGCTTTTTGGATAACAGCTAAATTCTAATTTTCTCGATTAAAAAAAGCACATGTAAGTTTTTCTCTTGAAAGTTTGCAACATCGTCCCCTACACTGTGCATACTACTTTCCCTAATAAAAATGGATCTCATGACCCTTGTCAGCCACTTCTGACTATATAGCTCATAATCCTCTGCCAGCCCAAGTAGAAAACTAAAATTGGGGCCTTGACAAGGCCATCCAGAGCCACTGCCTTTTGGCCTATGTCTTATAACATTCAGGATCTGACCAAACTAGTCCAACTAGCCTTTGAGTGGCAGGTAGCTCCAGCTGGGTGGAGAATATTCTACAAAGCCAGACACTCTGGCCCTCCATCCTCCAATCCTGCTTTGCATGTGCTAAAGATTCACATGATGTCCTAAGTATTTTATTCAGTGTTTTAAAAAGCTGAAGACATTTTCTTAGGATGAGAGAATAAAGAGTGGGAAGATTGAGGATAAGTGTTAGGCTAACCCATCTGCAATAAAGCCATGTATTTAAGTTATTACAGTACACAGAGTTATATCATTGCTTATTATGCTTCTATTACTGGGAAAACAAAAAACACGTAAAAAGATCGTGAATACATTACTCTTTGGTGTATATTTTGCACTTAGTTGCAGAGAAAATGTTTTGATGTTTGATTGGATAATCACACTAAATGGGCTGTTCCCAAGCTGCAGTTCTGTGAAAGGGCAGATTCTGCTCAGCAGTTTGTTAAGCTTCCCTCCACACCTTTACTCTTCACGGAGATTCACAGAGCACATCAGGTATCTTCTGAGAACTTTTAAATATTTAACTTTAATTTAGCATAGCAGTTCCCAATCATATTTTAGCACAGAATATTTTTTGAAGCACATCTCTGAACATCAGTGAAATAGCACCTAAGAAACATCAGGTAAGAAATGGTGTCTTTAATTTAAAACTCAAAATAACCACCACACAAAGGAAAAATCAGGAGACAGTACGTTGACAAGTGGCATATTTTATTGCGTTTTCCCAGTAAGTCGATTGGGAACGTTGCTGCTAAAATGCAAGTTACAATTCAAATGATATCGCTAACAGAACACATAGTATTTTCAGATTTCAGCTTCCATATCTTGATCACTAAATGGAAAGATTCTTCAGAAGAACAGTCCCTTACCCTACATACAAAAGGAAAAGAACAATTAAAGATGCCATGATGATATCTATCAAAATAACTGGAAAACATCTTAAAATTAAATTTAGTTACATTATTAACATGAAAAACACAGATGAATTTGTATTGAATATTTCTATAAAGACATTCCATCTAGGAGAAGCATGATAAAATTCATGTTGAATATATGCTTGCATTAGGACACTATGAAGAAAAGAAACACCTTATGAAGCCCAATTTCTAATGATGTCATTACAACTAAGGGAATGAAGCTACATATTTGAATATCTGACTTCTTTCTTATCTCCAACATTTAAAAGGGCATTCCTTAACTAGTTGGTCTGTTTTCAGATATGGGATTCCTGTTTCATTTCAGCGGTTTTATTACTACTTGGCTAGCTAGGGTTCTGCCACAAAGTGATAGAGTAAGTCCAAGTAAAGTATTTTTCTCAGACATGGAACAAATCTGAGAACATTACATTTCACTGCCTCTAGCATGTACCACAAAACATAAATTTTTTGCATTGTAAAAATGTCCTGCATATTTGTTTTAATTAGGGAAAAAGTGACAATTATAATGGTAATAAGTAAAAATTCTTTTAAAAAACAAATTATTTTAAGGAAAAGGAGTGGAATG